TTCCCAACTCCCCCAGATCCCTCAGCGCTGGCTCAGCCCGACTCTTCAACCCCTCCAGGGATCCCGGGGACTCCCCCCTGCCCTGGGCAGCCCATTCCAACGCCCAACAGCCCCTTCTGCACAGAAATCCTTCCTCAGAGCCAGCCTGACCCTGCCCTGGGCAGCTTGAGGCCATTCCCTCGGGGCCTGGCGCTGGGGCCTTGGCTCCAGAGACTCATCCCCCCTCTCTGCCCCCTCCTGGCAGGGAGTTGCAGGACGTTACACCAAAGGCATCTTCCCCTGATTCCCCAACCAAAGCTTTTCATCCCATCTCTGCATCAATGACACTTCCCAACCCATGTTCCCCTACATGTCCCTCCTGCTTACGCCTTCAGGCACTTGGAGGCAGCTCCTTCCTTTCACCCCTCTTTAGCCCTTCTGTGCAGTTTCTGTACAGCCCACCGTGCTCTGCTGGAAACCAGAGGTGTGTACCTCACCATCCCCATGGAAATTCCATCTCCACCTCTGGAGTAACCCTGTTGTGGAGAAGGCACAGAGTGCTTTGACACCATTGCACCAACACTCAGCTGCCTCCAGTCCAGAGGAGCCTTTCCCAGGGAGGGTCAGTCCCTCCAGGCTCTTTATACAAAGCCACCTCTAATCCTGACCCCACCAAGGTTGTATTCAGGATGTGGATTTTTTTAAAAACAGATTTCCTCACCTGCCCACAACCTTGTGTTTCAAATAACACAAAGGTAAGGCTTGAGCCTTCCACAGCCCCATTTGTGCCGCACTTGTGCAGATCTTGGGTCATGCAGCACATTTCACCGCAAAGTCACAACGAGGAGGTAGAAACGTCTGTTTTTAGGGGCGCTCACCTTTTTTGCGATGTAACACATTTGCTCAGCAGGAAGATAGTCAAAGGGGAAGATGAACCTCCAGTTGAAGTTGCCCTCTCCTCCCATAGACCTGTAGTGCACATCTGTCTTCTGCTTGTTCTCCTCGTGGCCAACCAGCCAGCTGCAAAATGCAAACGCTTTGCATGAAAAACCAGAAACACACCAAGGGTTCTGAAGTTCATTCAATGTCACAGAGGCCGTGAGCAGGTAATGAAATGTCTCTCACCCTTGTGGATGCCTTGGGCTGCTACCCGTAGGGGTAACCTGGAGCCCCCCGGAGACTTGGGAGGGAGTGCAATCCTCCCTGCAGCACTGGGAGATGGAGGAGTGCTGGCAGTACCGGCCTGAGAAGCTCCGCAATCTCTTCTCCTCCCTCCCCTGAGTTTTATGGATGTTTTAAAGACTCGACACCACCTTAAGTTCTGGCTCAAAGTTGTCACTTACTCATCCATGAGCACACACAGCTCCTAACTTGCCTTGCTGAGAGCTCCTTTCCCCTTTGCAGCCATCCCAACAAACTGGCCTGGTAGTTACCCCTAAGCCAGTCCTCTTCAGGAGGCAGCCATGCTAAAGGACCAAAAGGCTGGTTTTTTTCCCCTCTATTCTCTGTCAATTTCTCAAATATTATTATTCTGAAGTCCTACACGGCGAAGAAGTTATTTCCCAAGAAAATCCCAGAATGGCCAGACCCTGATGGAGCCAGGGTGGTCCCCAGCTGCTCCCCTTAGAGACAGCTCCTCGTAGCACGGTTCCCCTCTTGGTCTCAAATCGCTTGCTGCGGTCACCCCACAGCCAGCCCAGGGGCAAACTGAAAACTTTCCATAACAACTACTTTTTCTCCAGCTGTGAGTTTTGCAACTGTCAGATTTTCATTCTGCCCTCTTTCCCTGTCCAAGATTTTTTTTCAGTCTTCAGCAATCAGCGAAACAAAACAAAACAATAAAGCACATCCATTTGTGTATTTAGAGCCCTTCTGGAGGAGACCCAGAACATTCAGAGAGAATCTCTAATGAAAACAATTATCTCGTTTGATTGTTTTCCACTCAAATTGAAAATAAGGGGGTTTTGCCCATCTATACAAATGATTCCCTCTCCTCCAGTGCCTAAGAGGAGCATACGACCCACCCCAAATGTGTTGTGGGAGACGGGGAAGGGAGGGCTACTCAAGTTCATCCTATGGTACACATCACATGCACATGTGCTCCGTGGACAGCGAGGGCTTGGTGGCGGTGGGAATTGTGTGATGAGGTTACGCTAATACTTAAATTGTGGTTGGATTACTTGATTTGATCTGATAGGATGCAAATGGCAAGCCTGTGTGTTTATCCACATCGTCCAAAACTTGGCAGGGACCCTTGGAAGATGCAGTGTGAGCGCCCTCTCCTTGCAGGCAAACAAAAGGACAGTAAATGGTTTGATTTGGATGCCTCGCTGGCACGGGGGGGGGGAGG